AAACAAACAAACAAAAAAGACAAGCAAACTCCCCCCCCCTCCAAACAAACCAAAAAATGCAAAGCAAACCAAAGTGAACAAAACAAAAGAAATCTTCCTTTGGCCACTATACAGCTGGTGTTCGGCCTTCAATGCTCTGTGTGGGGATTTGCTCCCAAGATGCTAAGGAAGACTTCAGCCAAAAGAGAAGCCACCATTAATATCCTGGGAACTTTGTGGTAAGATTCCTGTGATTCAAAAGACTGGTATCTTTAGGCTTTTTTGCTTTGGTGGCAATTTCTGGTTCTGAATTTTGGAGGTGACTGTCCTAGGCTGTAACTGAGGTCCTCAGGGAGCTGTGAGGACACCCAGGGTCAATGGCTTCCTTCTGCTACCTGACTCTCCTTAGAGCACACAAACATGGGAGCAGGGGCAGATCTTGGAAATTGTGGAAGGCCCTCCAGCCTCTCCTTGACTCCCCATTTTGTACATAAGAAGTCGACACTTGCCCAAGAGACACAGGACTAAGTGGCAGAACTCAGACTTCTTAGCACACAGGTCTCTTGACTTCATCTGTACTCTGTGTTTTTTTCTTTCTTCTATTTCTTGAGTCTTGAGGCCTTGGATTTAAAAATGAACAGCAGTAAGCTCAGAAAGTGCTTTTCTTTTGACCAGTAACCTCCCTTTTTCTTAAGACATATCAGGTCTAACCCTGAACCTTCTGTTAGGCCTCCTCCTGTTACAGTTTACACAGCCCTCAGGGTGTACTCTGGGAACCCAACCAGAATTTCCAGCTTGCACAATCGACTGAAGCAGACCTGAGATTGGAATGAGACTAGGATACCCCCCATGAAGCAGCTCTTCCCTGGCATTTGGCTCCCATGAAGCAGTGATCTGAGACATAATCCTGGTCCCCCTTAAGACTCCCCTCTAAGGTGAGTCAGCCTTAGAGATACCACCCTCCTAAGCTGGGCAGTGCTCCACCTGTCCCTTCGCCCCACATAAAGCTTTTGGAGAGCCCATAGGACTGTGAGAACCTTGCCCTCTGGAGGAATTCCACACACCCTCTCCACCCTGTAAGGAAGATTGCCAATCCAGACCCAAGGAGCAAAGTCCTAAAAC